AAGGAAAGAAAGAAAAAGTATTATAGTTTATAAATGTGATGGACAGTACTTGATGAATACAATAAAAATTTTCAAATTGTTGAAACAGTAAGTATTTTCTGTTTTTTGCCTGAGTTCTCTGTCTGAAAATATTAAAATCATCCACCAGCATGGGCGGAGATACAGTCCTAGCACTTGCTCCCTTCTTTTCCTTCGTGTTCGCAAATAATGACTCCATTAGGCTGGGTGCAGTGGCTCAAGCCTATAATCCCAGCACTTTGGGAGGCTGAGGCGGGTGGATCATGAGGTCAAGAGATGGAGACCATCCTGGTCAACATGGTGAAACCCCGTCTCTACTAAAAATACAAAAATTAGCTGGGCATGGTGGTGCGCGCCTGTAGTCCCAGCTACTTGAGAGGCTGAGGCAGGAGAATTGCTTGAACCCAGGAGGCAGAGGTTGCGGTGAGCCGAGATCGCGCCATTGCACTCCAGCCTGGGTAACAAGAGTGAAACTCCATCTCAAAATTAATAATAATAATAATAATAATAATGACTCCATTTTGCCAGTTCTAGCTTTAAGAAGGGGAAAATCCAAAACCTTCTTCCTCGGCTCCTTATCTTAGCTGTACAGCTTCTGCTTCGTCCAAGAGGGCTTTGTCACAAAGAGGGAGAGACATTCAATTCACTACTCAGGCAGGAATAAGACAGTATTACACTAAAGCAGACACACAAGGTGGCTTCCATGGAATTCAAAAAAATGCATGTCTTGAAAAATGGGGCTGATTCTTCAGATTTATGGTAATTTCAACTTTTTTCACAAATGTACTAATTCTTCATCCCAGGTAATCTACAAACCCTACTAGACAATGGACAGCTGACTATACATATTTTGCTCAATACCAACATCCTTTATCTTGCTCCATATGTAAATCCTTGACTTTCTTATGATTCTGCCTAGTGTCTGTTCCTAAATTCATTTCATTACTAGCTCTTAGAGAAAAACCATTTAGCATCTTTTAAGAAATAAAAAAGGTTGATGTTTTATAACATATTTCTTGAAAACTCAGGATTTTAACAAGTATTTTGTACACACATGCACAGCATATATTAATGTAGCAAAAGCAAATGGCATGAAAAATTAGAAGGAAATACACATTTTCCACTTCTTGAGTAATGTATCTTTTGGTGCATTTACCCAGTCCCTTGGGAATCAAAACAAACCATGATTTCACCTTCTCCACATATGCAGACTAAAAACAACAGAAGTTGTTAGATTCCTCAGTAAGTATTTCCAGGAAAAAATAAAGTGACCTTCAGAAATTCCTATGCAGAGTGGACTAAAGCAAAGTCCTATGAGCAAAGAGAGCAGACGCTGGAACAGAAGGCAGTGTCCAGTGAAGGATCAGCATAGGCTTGCACCTACCCCTGTTTCCTGCTAGGTGGGCACAGATCCTTCAGAAGCAGGAAGACCTGAACGGGTGGGATAAAGTTCCAAGGGAAACCAGCCATGGGGCCGGGCAAACATACAAGATACTGAAAAGGGACCAGTTCACAATGACTTCAGCTTAGGACCACTGCCATTGCCCTTCTTCTCACACATATAAGTTGCTCAAGAGTTTGGTTGCTTCCTAAGTACTATTTTATGAACTCAAATCGCCATGGTACAAAGATACACCACTGTCCACAGGGGCTCACAGTCTGAGTCACTGAGATAACATGGCTCAGACTCAAAGTACATCAGGCAACAAAGAGTTTTACCTCAGGGCTAAATGTTCTTCATTTTGGTGAATTCTGTTCTTTAAGAGAAGGATATATTCAAAAACTTCATAGAAAATGTACCTCACAAGAATATGGAGCTCACCAAGCACAATTCATGACAGTAGAAAAAGGAAGTAAAAGCATCAAAACACTTGAGCAGTGTCTGAAGAAAGAAAACAAAGAGGGAGGAGACGTTGGGTGACAGGCTGGGACAATGCATCCTAATTCATTATAAACAAACAGAAAACCACCTCTTTTCACTTAGAATGGCTACTATCAAGGAAACAACAACAAGCGTTGATGAGGACACAGAGAAACCAGCACTCTGGTGTACTGCTGCTGGAAATGTAAAATGGTACATCTGCTATGGAAAACAGTACGGTAGCTCCTTAAAGAAAAAACTAAACATAGAATTACCATTGATCCAGCAATCCCACTTCTAGGTATGTATTTGTACACCCACATTCACAGCAGCACAAAGTAAGAACTCAACAGCCAAAAGTAAGAACTCAAATATCCATCAGTGGAGAAAAGGATATACAAATACACAAAGTGTGGTAGATGCACACACTGCAATATCATTCTGATACACACAGGAATAAATCTTGAAAACACTATGCTTAGTTAAATCAGACAGACAAGGAAGGACAGATATTCTGTGATTCCACATAGATGAGGTACCTAGAATAGCCAAATTCAGAGTCAAATTAATTCATGAGGGAAGACAGTAACAGAGCATTACTGCTTATTGGGTACAGTTTCTGTTTGGGATAACGGGAAAGTTCTGCAGGTGGATGGCAGCAATGGTTAAACAATGTTAATGTAATCAGTGCCACTGAATTACACGTGAAAGTGGTTAAGATGGTTACAATCTTATTGATATATACCACAATTAAAAAACCAACAACACAGATATGACAAACCTGGAGTAGCTCCAGTCATGGCTGGTCCAGCAGAGGTGGGGCCTGGAGAACATCCTGCATCCCCACCCTCCCCTCCCCTCCATAACCACTCAGAACAGTGCTGCACACACTACTGGTTGCCCAGCCAGCAGCCCTAAGCCCTCCATTTCCTCTTTGTTAAGCGTTTTGTCCAGGAATCGCAGGGCCACATGTCTTAAGGAGAGACTGGGATATTCCCCAGTGCCAGGGTGAATCTTGATTCACACAGACCAGGTAATTTCAAATGTTTGCTTCTCAGGACCCCTTTATATCTTTCAACATTACTGAGGACCACAAAGAGTTTTTGTTTATGTGAGTTATATATGTTAATGTTTACCACCAGAAACTAAAACTGACAAAAATTAAAGACAAAATATACAAGCACACATTCCATCAGCTATCAGAACGATGGGATCATCATCTATCATGTAACCTCTTGACAATGCCACTGCACATTAGTGAGAACATGTGAGTGGAAAGGCAAATAGCAGCTTAGCATTATTATAAAAATACTTTTACCACTGTGAACCTCCTGAAAGGGTCTCAGGGACCCTGGGCCCTCAGCCATGTTTTGGGAATGGCTAGTACAGACCAGTCATGGTATTTACTTTTGCTCTCATATCAAACTGTAGCAACGTGCATGTTATGGAATTCTAGGGCATGAGAACTAAACTTCAACTGAAAGGTTTCTCAGTTTTAAATGAGTTCACTTTTTTCCATATCCAACACAGTAGTCTTTCCGTGACATTCAGAACGGCAAAAGTCCCCTTGAGACCCAGGGATAAGGAAGCCTGAGAGGACTGGCCAATGTACTGCAAACAGCACAGAAGAATCACAGCCCTGTGTCCTCACAGCATAGTTAAGGCAACGACAGAGCCGACTGTGGAACTGCTCTTTTTGCTTAATCCACCATTCTTTGGCTTTCCTGCTACCTGCAGTCAAACACATCCTTGCTGACACATCTCAAAACCTAGTTTGCTGAGCATATTTTGAAACCCACGACTTCACACAGTACCTGGCACATTGTAGGAGTGTGATAAATATGTACTGAACAAATACATGGAAAATAAATACATAAACAAACAAACCCACCAAGGCTACTGTAGAGGAAAAATAAAACAGATAAAATTCATACTGATTTTATATTGATAGAAACCCTTATAGCTCCAAGATTGTCAGCATTTAAAACAAAGCTCATTTTAAACCACACAAAAATGGCTATATATGGTACCTGTTGGAGGGACAAGAAAGTCTGAAAATGCTTTCCTTTGATCTAAAACATCTCTAAGCCCAGAGAGCTAAGTCTATTCATGCCAAATATGGATCACATAACCTTCTCAAAGTGGACGCACCTTGAATAAACAGCTTTTTTTTCCCATTTCCCCTCAGCATGAAGTCCTTTCTCTCATGAAATTAGCACCAAACAGGAGAGAATGCTATAAAACACACTATTTATGGAAAAAGAAAATGAAACAAATCACATACCTAGCTTCCAATCAATGTCATCAACTAGGGGCACCATGACCTTGTCAGAAAATATTTAAAGCCCCTAAAATATAATCAAATATAAAATTAACAAATTTATGTTCAATTCCCCTTAAGTTGACAAGATTCTTCCTCCTCCTTGATGAAAGCCTGATAACTATTTTTAATTTGCTGAAATGTAATGATTCTTTGCTTCACTTCACAGGGTAAAACTGGTCAATTTACCGGCTTTCTTTTTTGAAAATCACAATAAAATACTCTTGTTCCCATGAAGTGCTTATGAAAGAAACAAATGGTATTTTTCCCCCTAAAACCAACAAGGTTTTAAGAAAAGTTCCACTAGGAGGAGCTGGCTATTTCTCTGTTGAGTCAGCGGTGTTCTACCTCTGAGATAGTCTAATCAGAACAGAAGACTTGAAATTTGCAGATAATTTCAAACAAACCTCAATTGTAAACGAAATCTGGGTCTAAGGAATTGGAGGAGCCAACTTCAATCCAGGTGCAGAGTATGTATACATACTCTTCAGATGACTCTGTAAAACATTAAGCAAATTGAATCTAGCAGATAACTCTGGGGATTTACTAAGCTCAATTCTTTCACCCATGTCCCCAGTGGTGGTAGGAGAAGAGCTCTTCTCTGGACTTGGCTTCAGAGTAAAAGCATCCCTTCACCATAGTGCTCGCCTTTGAGGCTGCTAAGACAGAAACCCTGATCTTGTTCTCTATCAGAGCACCGAAGAGCCATCATTTGGACTGGAAAAATATCAGCCTGCCTTCACCTGTTCTATTTCAATGATTACTTCCTTTCTTTGCATTCTTGTCCTCAACTTCACTTACCTGACAGTAAGACTGTTGGGTTTTGGTTAGACCAGTTAGAAAGTGAGCCGAAGAACACATTAGTTGTCAAAATATTAGGAAGCTTCTTCTTGCCTTTGTGACTGGTGACTTGGCTCCAAGTTATTTCTGCCTCTTTCTCCTCTTGGTTCCACAGGTAATTTATTGCTACCTAAACAAAAACAAGGAAACCCATACATTTATTAGGAACCTATTTTATGACAAGAACCCTGAAAATCATTGCAAACAGAAAGATGACAGTGTTCCCTGCTCTCAAGTAACTTATGGCTAATGAAGAAATTGGGACCCATAACAGATAACACTTAATAGGGAAAAGCTGGGAGAGAAGGAAACACAGGGGGCTGCAGGGAGCATGAGGAAGGGACACCAGCCAGGCAAGGAAGTGTCAGAGGCCCCAGACAGCAATGACCCTGAGCTAAGCAGGTAGGAAGCATGAGCAGGAGCAAGCTAAAGACATCAAAATCAAATGCAAGGTGCTTGCTGCAATGCACAGCAAGAGTTAAATTACCATTTGACCCATGGTTCTCAAACTTAAAAACTATTGAGAGCTCCCAGTATTATCTAAAGTCATTTTTCTTGTTAGTTAAATATTAACAAACATAAAGCAAAAAAACCTTATGCTTACAACTCTTATACAACTATAAAACAAAAAAAATGTACAAAATTAAATACCAACAAATATACAAAATGAGTAAAATTTAAACTGACAAAATTAATTCAGCATGATCAATGATGCAGTCATTGAAACTCACTAACCATGTGAGCTTGGTACTGACAACAGGCAGGTTCTGTTGACTGGCCAGTACTGACATATGCTGGGAGACAGCTTAATTCACCCATCACTTTTCTCTTCAGAACCACTGTGCAAAGGCAGTCTCTTAGCTCAAACACATTATTTACATTTTCACCTTTGTTCTTTTGTAATATCTCCCTGTATTTAAAGTAGTGCTCCCTGGCACCAATACAAACACAACTGCAGGTACTGAAATCTTAAGACATTACTTGGTTAGAATTGTAGGCATTTAGGTGTGTGGAAACATGAATTTTTTTAAATTACCATCAAAATGAAAAATAGAATGTGAAATATTTAGCATAGAGGACGATAGCATCCTAATAAATCCCACCTGCCTAATCCCACTCATCTTTTAGAGCCTCAGGCAGAGTTTAAATAAATGTATACTGTGGGTCACTGAGCTCTCATAGGAAGCATTCTTGTGGTTAGCTTTTAGTACTATGTAAAACCAAATACCTGACTTTCTTTCCTTAAAACTCTCTGCTCACATGACTTACAGTTAAGATGGCACAGTGAATTCGCTCTTTGATGGATTTTCTCTACTCCAAACATACAGCAAAGAGAGGAAAAACATAAAAAAGGAAAAGGATGCAGGCAAGCACACACAAAAAATAAACATTTCTATGAAACAGATATGGGACAGAAACACAAAGAGGCAAGGCCCTGAGGACAAAACCTTGAGCAGCCAGCCCCTCCTATGCTAGAATCCAAACAGGCAATGAAACTGTAGGTTTAGGTCTTAGAAAGGCTGGGGGCTAAACAGAGGAGGCACAAAGGACAGAGAAAGAACTAGCACCCCTGTTGGAAGTTGGAATGGAAGGTGCTGACTGGAGCCTTACCCCTTCATGCCTGAAGGAGGGCTGGCAGCTTCCGTGTTGCCTATGGAGTGATGGTCTAGGGAGGGATGGAGGGCACCCGCCAGCCAGGACCAGGCATTCCATGAAGTAGCCTGTGACTGCCCAGGGGCCCCCACTATGAAAGCTGGTTCTGCACCCAAGCTCCATAGAAGCCAGGCAGAGACAACCAAAATGGGGCTACAGAGGGGAGAGTACGCAGAGAGAGAGAAAGAAATACGAAAAATAACCGAATGAGTTAAGAAAGTTGTTTAAAACCTCATTCAAAATATGTCATTTAACCAAAGCTCTAAAGAAATAAATGCAACAAAATCAGACATTAGATCATAAATTCACTTTAGATGAAGTTAATCAGTCCAACAAAGGGTATATTTAGATGCTAAAATATTCCAACAAAGTATACTTAAGATAGTAAAGTAATCCCAACAAAATATATTTAAGGTGATTAAAAACACCAACAAAAACAAGTATATTTAGGGTGCTTTTTAAAAAGCTAATTAAAAAAGAATAAGAAAGTATAAATCAAAAAGGCAGAATTAAAAAACGGCTCAAAAACAATCAACTAAAAAGTATGTAAATCAGAACTACAGTCATTAAAACTGAAAAACTCAGTGCACAAGATACTGGACAGCAGACTGGAGAGGAAGCGCTCTGTCTTGCCAAAACACACTGCGCATCACTGAATCTGCAGCCACACAGCTCAGGAGCTCAGCTGCTAGCCCCACAGCCCGGTCTCACTCAGACCTGCCCCGTAGCCTTTCCACACCACAGGTGACTAAATGGCTCAGATCAGCACATCCAGGTGTGAGTCCCACTAGCATTCTGCCTCTCTCCTACCAGTTGGTGGATATAGGTGAAGCAACTTTCGCTTTATATAACCCCTACAGAAACTTGCTGAAAAAGCAGACCCCGAAATGCTTCTGGTAACTTCTGGCAACAGATCTGCCCTCCTTGCAATAGAAAACTCATTCTGGATTTAAATTTATCTTCCTTGCCCACCACACTTCTCCAGCATCACCAAATGTGGACTTGACTGGATTCCTTATTCACCATCATGGTATTACAATCAAGTTTGGACCAAGGAACTCATTATACAGTAAAAGGAGTAAAGCAATGCGCTCCTGCCAATTGTCAGCTAAGTTATTACTAGCTGCTGCATGAACCTGATGGCTTTCACCTGCATTCCTTCATCACTTCCAAATTTCTCTACTACATAGTTCATTCTACCGCATCTTCTCTGAAACTAAAACAGGAAACAAACATTAACATAAAGGAAAACATAAACAAGAATGATAGCCTGAGTTATGTGGAAAGGAACTTTGATTTAAGGCATCACGGAAGAATAACAATAAAAAACAAACTTGGAAAACTGGTAACAAAACACATTACAATTGTTTGATAAAGAATAGAGTCACACTTTTTTTCCTTAAAAGGTCAGTAAGCTTCTCACTTAGGTTCCCCTGGAAGGCAGAGCTCAGACAGGATAGAGAAGGTAAAGACCCTAATTCGCCCCCTCATTTCCAAAGACAGAAAGCAGCTCACCAAACCAGCCATGTGATGCCCTCCAGGTGGTGTGCCTGGCAGTTACACAAGGGGATCGACAGGATACAGGCCCTGGAACCAGACACTGTGCTCTCAGAACCTCTCCAAAGCCGATGCTATGCTATGGCACAAGAGCACCACCTACTGAGTTCCAAGGGACAATTTAGTCCATTTATTGAAAAATGGCTCAGTAAAATATGACTGCGGAGGGATAAACCTCATTTCAACCTAATTGGCTATGTCTCTTTCTCTTTTAAAACTAGTACATTTGCCAAGACTCTTGAAAAACCAGCAGCATGCCTTCTTACTCTCCCATTCTCACTTTAATTACCACAGTAAAATGAATCTCTTTTCCTTCCAACCATTTTTGGCTATCATAATGAATACTGCTATTTCTAGATACCTTTTCCCCTACCTGTTTTCCAAAAGGCAGAGAAAACCTCTAGGGGAGAAGCAGTGGTAGTCCTAAAGGGTCTGGGAAGGATGTATGTAAAGTCAAGTCATTTGGTCAAAATTTTAAGCCCTATGAGGCACAGTGCTGAAATGGGGGAATTGCTTTCACAAACTCATTGAAAGATGATTATAATAGTCCCTTTCTCCTTGAGGAGCTTAAGATGAACAGAGGTTCTAGGCCAGCAAAGCTGGAGATCAGATGATCTCTTAATAAAACGGAATAAAGAAGAAAATACATAGACGTAAGGAAAGAATTTATGGGATAGGTAACATCAGGGAGAGCTGATTGCTTCTGCTGTGCTGTGTATTAAACATACAGAATGCAACTGAAAGCAAAGAGCAGGTTCTTTCTGGAGCCCTTCATGCTTTACATGAAGCCTTTAGGTATTGCCAAGTACAGAAACCCCGAGACAGACTCACCTGAACAATTTACATACATGTCGGCCTGCTTATCATACAGCTTTGGTATGTTTTATTGGTCTCGTAGGGGCACTCTGGCAACCATTATATGTACAACCTCTCCCTTGCCTTAGTCATGATGAAAACGCCGCAACTTTTTTGTGGACCTGAACAGAATGTTAGGTGTAGCAGAGAGGAGCAGTCACCTCTCCAGTATCCATTCTCCACGTTCCCCCTTCTTAACAGGACTGGGAATTTCCCAGCCAGCATATTTGAACGGGATAAGAATGGGCTCTGATTAGGTTAAAGCAGTGGTCATCAACCAGGGACAGTCTTGCCCTAGAGGGGACCCTTGACAATGTTTGAAGATATTTTTGGTTGTCACAGCTGGGAGGAGGATGTCACTGGCATCCAGTGGGCAGAGGCCAGGAACACTGCTGAAACACCTACCATGCAAAGGACAGTCTCCCACAACAAAGAATTAGCAGCCCAAATGTCGCCACCTCATTCCCATGCTAGCACATGGGACCTGTGAATATTACTTTACATGGCAAAGGAATGACTATTACCTGTACAACAACAACTACCAAGTGGTAACGTTCAGGATCCTGAGAGAAGGAGCTTGTCCTGGAATATCAGGATGGGCCACTTGCATCCTTATGAGAGAGGAGGCAGAGGGAGTTGGGAGACAGACACAGATGAGACAGCGATGTGAAGGCAGAAGCAGAGATTGGAGGGATGCAGCCACAAGCCCAGGAATGCCATGCTGGCTGCCAGAAGCAGGAGGAAGCAAGAGTCCCCAGAGGGAATGTGGCCCTGTCAGGTTTCACACTTCTAGCCTCCAGAACTGCAACAAGACATGATTCTGTTCTCTTCATCCATCAAGTTTGTAGTAATTTGCTATAGCAGCTTCTGGAAACTAATATAACATCCTGTAAGGAGGTGTATGAATTGCAAATTACAAAAAGGGAAGCAAACTTACGTTTTTGTTTTTTGTTTTTTTTTTTGACTACAAGATCTCATTCTACTGATATACCAAAGGTTTCCACATTAGTCAAAATCCACAGAGAAAAATACTATTAATATTATTAAGCACTTCTGCTGCTGAATGCATACCTTAAAAGTCCATCACCTGACTCACCAACCATCTTCCAAAGAATGACTCCTTCCTCCTTATCAATCCCAGCATGCCTCCTCTTTTTTATTGAAGCGACAAAGCATTATTTTAACACATTTTATGTACAAACTACATTCATTCAATTTAGAATCATTTACTAATAAAAAGCTTTCATTGCTCAATGATGTATTTTTCTATTTGTAGAAAATACTTGGAAATCTTAGGTTGGAATGGAACACATCATAACTTTTACCACTAAAATCAACAGAAGTTAGCCGGCTGCAATGGCTCACACCTATAATCCCAGCACTTTGGGAGGCCAAGCGGGTGGATCACTTGAGGCCAAGAATTTGAGACCAGAGTGGCTACCACAGTGAAACCCTGTCACTACTAAAAATAGAAAAAGTTAGTTGGGCGTGGTATCGTATGTCTGTAATCCTGCTACTCAGGAGGCTGCAGCAAGAATTGTTTGAACCTAGGAGGTAGAGGTTGCAGTGAACCAAGGTCATGCCACTGCACTCCAGTCTGAGCAACAGTTCAAGACTGTCTCAAAAAAAGAATGTTTCTCAGGCCGGGCGTGGTGGCTCACACCTGTAATCCCAGCACTTTGGAAGGCCGAGGCGGGTGGATTATGAGGTCAAGAGATAGAGACCATCCCGGCCAACATGGTGAAACCCCGTCTCTACTAAAAAAATACAAAAATTAGTTGGGCGTGGTTGGCATGCACCTGTAGTCCCAGCTACTTGAGAGGCTCAGGCAGGAGAATTGCTTGAATCTGGGAGGTGGAGGCTGCAGTGAGCCGAGATCATGCCACTGCACTCCAGCCTGGTGCCTGGCGACAAAGCAAAACTCTGTCTCAAAAAAAAAAAAAAAAAAAATGTTTCTCAAAAAAAAAAAAAAAAAAAAAAATCCCAACAAAAACAATCTCATCAAAAGAAAAATATTGTCAGACTTTAAGAAAACATGATCTAACTATATGCTGTCTACAGAAGACACAACTTAGAGTAAAAAATACAAACAAGGCCGGGCGCGGTGGCTCAAGCCTGTAATCCCAGCACTTTGGGAGGCCGAGGCAGGTGGATCACGAGGTCAAGAGATCAAGACTATCCTGGTCAACATGGTGAAACCCCGTCTCTACTAAAAATACAAAAAATTAGCTAGGCATAGTGGTGCGTGCCTGTAATCCCAGCTACTCAGGAGGCTGAGGCAGGAGAATTGCCTGAACCCAGGAGGCGGAGGTTGCGGTGAGCCGAGATCGCGTCATTGCACTCCAGCCTGGGTAACATGAGTGAAACTCAGTCTCAAAAAAAAAAATACAAACAAATTGGAAGTAAAAGGATGGAAAAGATATGTCATGCAAACAAGCAAAAACAAGAAACTTAGTGTGGCTATACTGATATCAGAAAAAATAAATTTTAAAACAAAAAGTTAGTAAAGATGGAGAGGGACATTTTGTTAATGATAAAATGGTCAATCCATTAGGAAGATATAACCATTATAAACAGAAACAACTAAGGACCAAAATTCATGAAGCAAAAATTGACAGAAACAAAGGGAGAAACAGATAACTTAATATTAATAGCTAGAGACTTCAAACCGTCATTTTCAGTGATAGATAAAACAACTAGAAAGAAAATCAACAAGAAAACAGAACACTTGAATAACACTATAAACCAACTAGATCTAACAGACATCTACAGAACACTCCACCCAATAGAATACACATTTTTCTCAAGGTAACATGGAATATTCTCCTAAACAGATTGTATGCTAGGCCATAAAATAAGTCTTAATATATTTAAAAGAGCATTAGTAATATAACACATGTCTCTGATCACAAAGAAAGAAATTAAAAATAAATGCAGGAAGTTTCAAAGGAAATTCACAAAT